TGACCCATGTCCCAGGAGAAATTTGATCGTCGTCGCACATCAGAGGCCAGACGGGGGAGTCAGAGTCAGATAGGCCACGATTGTTGATTTTTCTTCAGGCAGACTGTTTTGGCTCGTCAGCCTTGAGTCCTGCTGGTACTTTCTGGTCCAAAATGGCCAAATTTGTGGGCATTCCACTGATCCATGCTATGAGCCTTCTCCAAGGTTGTCTCCAACATGCTGGCGAGTCCTAAAGTCGCAGGTGGTCTGCGATTCTCACAAATCGCCTCCACCTTACGGTTTAGCTTGTTAATCAGCTGATTTTGAGTACTCAAAGCACGAACCAAACCTTCACACAGACTCTGCATTTTTGTCATGGCCAAAACTGCTGTCGGTCTTCCTCAAAAGCCGATAACATACAATCCCTGCTATCATGAATCCAAATATATAAACATCTTCACGTCCTCCTGAGACAGAGCAGAAAGACACATCAGCTGCCACACTTCCCACAGGTTCATGACGTATCCTGCAGCGTGAGTCTCAGTTTAAAGTCCAGCTCATCAGATCCATAATAGTATTTTTCTTTGGAAAGATGTGTACCAGGAGCTCCGAGACACAGACAGAGAGCAACAAAAGCAGGAGGAAGAGGAGAACGGGGGAGGTAAAGAAAAAAGTGTTTGCCTTGAGCGAGTGCAGAAACGACGAGAGTGTTACTGTAGTGACACCTACAGTTCAGGAGAACTGCAGCAGCACCGCTGTAAGCAGCAACAAACACTCTGAAGGTGTGCTTCATCCTGAGCATGTGAAAAAACAAATGATCTGGAAAGAAAAGGTTAATTATGATTTCTGTTTATTTTTTTATTCAGGAAAGGTCATTTTGCTGCTCACAGCTGAGTTACTGAGAAAGTATTAAATCTGTTCACTTGTTTGAGAGCGGCCATTTTTATGAAGTAGTAAATAAGTAACGGTCGTGGGAGGACTCCTTTGTTTTGTTCTCTTGATATTAGTTTGAGCGGCAGTCTTGCGTTATTTTCTCTACTGTTGAGGAGGACGTCCCTGACAGCAGCGTGCCTGAAGTTCTGCTATAAACAGCCAAACCCCAACATCCTCCTCCAAGACGAGTTCAGCAGCCGTACTTTGGGCGTCATTCAAACGAGTCAGACGATGGAGAGCTAAGTCAGAACAACGTCAGACCTTTAATCTGAAGGGCCAAGGAAATCTCAGTAGACTCTGGCATCTTCAGAAGAAAGTGTCACAAAGTTTGTTGCTGATTTGTAGATGAACTGAGAAGTTTTTCCATCAATATAAGAAAAGTGAAACAGAACCGTACCATGTAGATTTGAACAAGCATCATCAGCATGCAGTGTGAGTTCAGGCTGAGTTTAGACTAGAAGTTCAGGTGGTTTCCTCTAAAGTCCTTTCGTCTCGTTCTCAGTTATGATTCCAACTTGAACGACAGCAGAGACAACAAGAAGAACCGTTTCGCCAACACCATGGTGTTCATGGAGGAGTATCTGAACAACGTTCTCAACGACGAGCTGCCGTTCCACAACGAGGAGAAAAACAAACTCACATACGAGGTCTTTCTCTCACGACACTCTTCATCCTTTGGTCCTCCTTTCTCCTCTTCACCTCCTCCCCCTCCGCTCCTCCTGCAGGTGGTGAGTTTGGCCAGACATCTGATCTATTTTGGGTTCTACAGTTTCTTTGAGCTTCTCAGGCTCACCAGGACTCTGCTGGGGATTATCGACTGTCGGCCCAACCCTGCGCATGGCAGCCTTGTGTTCCACGAGGAGGGATCAGGTGCTTCCTGTTATCTCAGCTTCACAAACACGATCCTTTGATTCTCTGAACGAAATTATTATCGAACAGTTCGGATCGATAACATGACTGCTGTCTTCTGACTCTGAAGGGAAGAATGTGAAGCGCTCCATACACGGGATGGGCCAGATCATGTCCACTATGGTCCTCAACAGGAAGCAGTCCATATTTGGAGGCGGAGGAGCCAGAGGGGCGGGGCTTGGGGCGGGATTTGCGCTTGAAGGACAGAGAGGCAGTAAAGACAGTCTTGACAAGATGGACCTGACAGTGATGGACACCAAACTGAAGATCCTAGAAATTTTACAGGTCAGAAATGTTAAATATTTAAAAGCTGAACGATGCAACACAATTTAACACAACAAATACTTCAAGTTTTACTAACACTGGTAAACTTGACCGGTAGCTTAAGAACAAAGATTGCTTTTAACTCAAATCAAAGTCCATCTTTACAATATTTAGATAAATGTGAAACTGTTTATTTTTATAAACAACTTGATGCCTGAAAAAAAAAACATTTAAAACTAATTTATCATGGATGAGAAACTTGCCCTCCTCTTCCTCAGTTCATCCTGAACGTCCGTCTGGATTACCGCCTCTCCTTCCTGCTGTCCGTCTTTAAGAAGGAGTTTGTGGACGTTTATCCTATGGCTGAAGCCGACGCCACGACTAACACGGAGCAGGCCGGTAAACGTCAGAACCACATTCACCCGACAGAAACTGTACTTTTTATATTCAAACCTCATGTTTCTTTCCATCTGCGCAGCAGCTTCTAAAGATTTCAGGATCGCAAAAGACATAAACGGTCAAAGATGATGTCTTTAACAGTTTAGTGACAGTGTTGGACAAATAAACTCCAACTTTGACCAGACTGTAATTCACCCTGATCATCGGTCCGGTCCATCTCTTGACGTCCTGTCAGGTGTCGGTCCGGTCCGTCTCTTAACTTCCTGTCACGTGTCGGTCCGGTCCGTCTCTTGACTTCCTGTCAGGTGTCGGTCCGGTCCGTCTCTTGACTTCCTGTCTGTTGTCGGTCCGGTCCGTCTCTTGACTTCCTGTCAGGTGTCTGTCTGGTCCGTCTCTTGACTTCCTGTCAGGTGTCGGTCCGGTCCGTCTCTTGACTTCCTGTCTGTTGTCGGTCTGGTCCGTCTCTTGACGTCCTGTCAGGTGTCGGTCCGGTCCGTCTCTTGACTTCTTCCTGTCAGGTGTCGCTCTGGTCCGTCTCTTGACTTCCTGTCAGGTGTCGGTCCAGTCCGTCTCTTGATATCCTGTTAGGTGTCGGTCCGGTCCGTCTCTTGACTTCCTGTCAGGTGTCGCTCTGGTCCGTCTCTTGACTTCCTGTCAGATTTCTGTCCGGTCCGTCTCTTGACGTCCTGTCAGGTGTCGGTCCGGTCCGTC